TGCCAGTGGTCAAAGTCCAAGTAGGTAGACCAATATGAATGACAGTCTTTCACACATCCTCTCCGTCTATAGCTATATGATCAATCTGAGTCCATGTCTGTGCGAAAGAAGGGTTATGCCAAGTGATGAGGTGACGCTCGGGGTGGCTGAAGTTCGTGCGAACGAGGAACAGTGGTAGTCGTGCATCTTTTCGATTTATTTGCACCCCTAGACCACGGAAGTTCTCCATTTGCTTTTCGATTCTACTTTCAACTTTATCCTACTGTTTCATCCAAATGGGCAGCCAAAAGACAACAACCAAAACCGGCGCACGAAAGTGCGCGGTTCACGTTTGTACAAACTGAAACTGAAAACCTCCCGATTCCGACAGTGGTGATTGGTTCTTGAGGTGTAGCATAATATATATCATATATACAATAATATATATGATATATATATATATATATTTCATAATAAGTAGTATGTAAATGACTGGACAAAATTGCCCTGGAAGCACATGACCGGTTTCGCGGTCCTTGCCACTCGTCAGGGAAGAATCAATGCTATGATTCTTCAATGGACTGGCTCTGAAAGAGCTGTCTATCCAAACGTCACCCGGTGATGCAAACAAGGTTATTTTGTCGAATATATATATATATATATATATATATATATATCATAAATTGCATTTGGATGACTTCACTGTTGGCATTATCCAGCCCGCACAACACTGGTTAGGAACATCGTTTCTTGGAACAGCATGTCTGCAAAACCTACGTCCCATTTGGTGGAATACAGATTTGTGACGAATGTATACACGATACAGATTCACGTCCAATAAGATAAACAAACAATTTGGAATATCTTTTTGAAACACTTACCGTAACGCATTCAATGTGACCACGAGGTGGTAGAAAAGACTCTAGCACCATGTAGATATTTTCGGCCTTTGCATTGTCCCAGTCGAAATGGAGTAACGCCAGTCGTTTCCCAATCGTTGTCGCCGGTGCAGCGTCTTTGGTTAGCTCATGCCAATCCGCCTCTATCGAGGAGCATCATGGAGGATAAAAATAGAATATTTGAGTGATGAACTACCGATATACGCAGCTCAGTGTAAATAAACATTATCCTCATCACCACAGCAACCTACCTTGAAGATCCGCAAGGATTTCACCTGGGTCATGTTCTGTATCCGATTCTGTTGATGTCGAACGGCTGTCTTGTGACATTGTATCTGATTCATCTGACTCTCTTTCAGACATCGAATCATTCTCCGAATCTTCGTGTTTTTCGTTTAGTTGTTCTTCTTCCGCACACTTTGACTCCAGATCCTCCTGATCCATTGCTTGTTTCGTTGTAGGGGATTTTATTTCGCATTCTGTTCTCTTCATGGCCAGCTGTGCTTTGGCATATGCCCGGGGATTTTTGACCCAGGGTCGACCCCGTTTATCTTTAAACACCGGTTCCTGGTCGACATCAGCGAATAAATCCCGAACTGAGCGGGTTTTTTGGTGACTTTTTCTTTTGACAGGAGCGTATTTAGGATCGCGAGCAATTCGGTCCACATCCATACCTTCCGCGATTTGGATTCGTTAACACAGATTTGTGTTCTGCACAAATAGTAACCTGGAAACGATGGAACATAAACTACTTAGCATTGATCAATACAGGTGAAAAATATTACGAACACAGATCAACAAACCATATGAATGAATTGACAGGATAACTCGGAAAGGAGTTAGCTGCATTGCTGCGTCTAATGCCATATTTGCAAGCTGCATTGGACTAAAGCCGGGAGAATCAAGATGGTTGTGATCGAGGTCACTGACATTAGGGAACAGGTTCACAGGGTCTGGTGCCTGAACGTCTTTTCCATTGGCTCATATGTTGCCCGGCGCGCAAGAACCCCAACAGATTGAACTTCCGATTGTCCGGACCTTTTGTCTATACTACTGATCCCTATTCATCTAACGGAAGACGGGACATGATGTCAAACTTGGCATGCCTGTTTGGAATTTGTTTTTGAGGCACTGTTTATGATAATATTCATTTAGTACCCTTTATTGATTAATGTTACATTATATTCCGTCTGACGCCAGACTGTGTGCCAAACAAATCACGGTATAATAATCTTTATGAACACTGCCAGGTTGCCCAGGCCAAGGCAGACGAATTTTCTTGTGCAATTCACAACCGGAGCCTTCGGCTAGTCAAAGCCCGACTCAAAAAGCAGCGGGCGGTTTGTAAACCGCAATCCATTGGGGGCCGGTGTCCAGTTCATCGAATCATACGCCCTATGGACGGGGTCAAACGCTCAATGTGCCCAACACACCTCAATGTCCAATTGAGCCGGCGACCATCGCTACAACCGAAAGGACGTGGGTGTGGTTCGTACGCCTTCTCTTGATTGGGTTGGAATTAGGGATTTTGGCCAACTCCCCTAGGTGAACTACCAGTGGTCTACCAACCCGGTTATAGCCCCGGATGTCGGCTTTTAGTCCTCTCATTCCGACGAGAAAACACCACCACAGGAAGGAAGTGAGTAGGGCTTCCTCAGCAGAGGCTATTTGAGACGCTTGGTGATATGGGAGAATTTCACGAAATGCAAGGAAAGAGCGACCAAGCGACGGTTACGATAGGATTGGAACACACGATCACAGATGTAATATACTGGTGATTTAAACCACCAATTATTTAATGCGACTACTGGACAACTGTAAGAAAGAATTGCAAAAAATGCTAATGAACTATGACAAGAGGGAGCTTTTTTAATTTGCTCACACTAAACTTGGACGGTTGAATGTGATTCGAGTGCTGCGGGATGCCGCAAACGGGAATGATCAGTCCATTAATTAATCGCTAATAACGGTAACGATTCTAACGTCGTTCGGTTTAGTACCACCACTTAACCATTTGGACCTTATATGGCTCACCTTTCCAAGTTTCAGGGCCAGGTTTTCCGTTACCTCTCTCATCTTATCATGAACAATGCAACAAACTCGAGCGTACTCTCGCTCGACAATACCACTTACTAACGTTCGCGGTTTGAACCGTAATATTAATTATAAACTTCCCTCCCCGGGAGGAGTTAAATTCCAAAGCACGGTAGACTGGACGAAACACTTTGCAGAACATCAAAGCTCAAGAGGAATGGGGATTAGGACAGCCTTGTCGAACTCACAGATCATAGGCCCCAATCCAACCTGAGGCATGGTAACAGAACTTTGAGAATCAAAGCAATTCACTCAATAAATAAAGTTGAAAATAGAACATGACACTGCAAGCGAGCACGATTTTATTCTGGAATCATTTCGCTACATCTGACATGGTGCATACTGAAGAAGACAAAGTAGTGATGACAGTTTAACACTTCCAATTCACTCTTCCGCTTACGTGGTTACTAGGGCAAAGTTTGA